TGGTTCTGTCTCACGTCTTCAGGAAGACTGATCCAGGTTTTAGGAGCCTGGAGCTGAAATGAAGCTTCACCTGGTTTAGTTCTGACTCTGAGCCCCATCAGGAGACCAGAACCTGGTTTAGTTCTGACTCTGTACCCCGTCAGGAGACCAGAACCTGGTTTAGTTTAGACTCTGGGCCCCATCAGGAGACCAGAACCTGGTTTAGTTCTGACTCTGTACCCCATCAGGAGACCAGAACCTGGTTCTCAGAGTCCAGATGGTTCATCTGGCTCTAACATGTCAGACCATGAAGAGACCTGAGAACTGGACTGATGTGGTCCTGGTTCCTGGTTCTGAACTGGACTGATGTGGTCCTCGTTCCTGGTTCTGAACTGGACTGATGTGGGCCTGGTTCCTGGTTCTGAACTGGACTGATGTGGTCCTTTCCTGGTTCTGAACTGGACTGATGTGGTCCTGTTTCCTGGTTCTGAACTGGACTGATGTGGTCCTGGTTCTGAACTGGACTGATGTGGGCCTGGTTTAGACTCCATTCCTCTGGTTCTGGATCAGTCTTACTGGGTCTGGTACAGACTCTGTTCCTCTGGTTCTGGATCAGTCTTACTGGGTCTGGTTCAGACTCTGTTCTTCTGGTTCTGGATGTGTTAGATGGTAGAAAGCTGCTGATGGGACTCATTTATTTAAATGTGCCATTGTGTTTTTAAGAGATCCATTTAGGCTAAATCAGCTGGACTCAGCTAAACAGCAGGTAGCACCCAGAGGGTTAGGGTTAGGGTTAGGGTTAGGGTGAGGGTTAGGGTTAGGGTTAGGGGTTAGGGTTAGCGGTTAGGGTTAGGGTTAGGGTTAGGGTTAGGGTTAGGGTTAGTGACTAAGCCCAGTCCCCTCAGCCCAGCTCCACTGTGGGCTAACATGATGTGCTAATGGTGGGGTGAAGCCAAAGGGAACCCGGAGGGGGGGGGGGGGGGGGGGGGGGGGGGGGGGGGGGGGCAGGGGGGGGGGGGGGGGGGGGGGGGGCCGGGGAGGGGGGGTGGGTGGTGGGGGGGTGGGGGGGGGTTATGGGGTTATGGGCAGCCTGACAGAATGAGGAGGAGCCCTCCAACAGACGTCACTTTAGATGGGCTGGCCTCTCCGGGGTAACCACGGCAACCACAAACCCGCCCCCCCGCTCTGCCCGTCACAGGGGCTGTGAAGTACCTGGAGTGCTCGGCGCTGACCCAGCGGGGCCTGAAGACCGTGTTCGACGAGGCCATCCGGGCCGTGCTCTGCCCCCCGCCCGTGAAGAAGAGGGGGAAGAGGTGCACCGTGTTCTGAGCAGCTCTGCCGGCCCCCCCCCCAACACCACCGCTTCTCTGGGGGGAACACTAACAGAGCCAGTGTGCAGTTCTGAGATTGCTTTCTTTGTATTGATGTTTTTTCAAAATGACATTGGTGACTTAACCAATATTTAATCAGACTTTTTTACACCATGTGGTCCTAAGTTCTCCATGAACTCAGCGTGGCAGGTGCACTCGATGGGTAGCTTGTGGTTGTTGGTTGGTTGTTTATGATTTGCATTGACTGTCCAACTACTTTCTACTTACAGAACGCCATCATGTTGTCAAGAGAGTTGCAAAGGTTTCTAGAATTTGTCCTCACACTGCAACATCTCCTGTTTTTCAGCAGTGCTTGCTTGAAATAATGCGACAGTAGAAAAACAAATGTAAATAAGGCTTCAGGTTTGAAGTTTCCCTCAGCTTCTTCTCTAAGATCAGGCAGACACGTCTCCTGTCCTGCAGCTGTCAGAGCCATCCAGTAGTGTCCACAGCACCAGGGACCCTCAGGGCTCCGGTCAGACGTTAGGTGATGGGCTCCTCTGTTCTCCTCCCTCACTTGTAGGCAGCCGGTGGTTTCTGTCTGAGCCACATTTTAACAAGTAAAAAAAACGTTTTTCATTAGTTTGTTAAAAACTCATTGATTTCCCCTTGGCTTCACTGCCTCAGATTTAGAACATTGTTGAAGAGAGCACCCTGAAAGTTTCTCATAGAAAACCTTTCCACTTTTAAGTTTGTTTCATATTGCCAAAAAAACTGAATTTAACCTGTGTCTAACACAATAGTCTGTTTGGAGAAAAAAAAGTTTTAACACTGGGCAAAGCAGCAGTTATTTTGGGCCCTGACTGACAGTGGTGGGTGTGTTCTCCTGGCCATGGGCTGAGTTGTAGTACTGCTAGTACTTCCAGAACTGACCACTCCACAGGATTACTACCAACACCACTCACATTCCCAATCCTCAGAGATCTTGAGAGATCTTCAGAGTAGATGCTGAGTTTTGCCTGATTAGTTGATGCTATGATGAAAACTCCCTCTCCTCAGTTTGTCCTCCTCACAAGAGCTTATTTAGTGAACGGCTCCCTGTGGTGGAGTCTGCCATTACCATGCTGAACAACATGTCAAGCTCAGTTTGTGCTTTAGACAATAGCTTTTCGTCCTTTTGCTGTCCTTTAAAAAAGAAAGTAAGTCTGTTCCCTCCGAGTCTGTGGTTATTTCCCAGTGAGGGCCTGATCTTAGCTGAGTGTCAGCGGGGAACTTCCTGTAAGTGTGGACACGTGAGCATGCCAAACACTGGGGCCGTGCACCCTCGCTGCCTGAGCGCTGCCTCCCAACGGGCGGACGCTTGCATGGGTCTTACAATGTTCTGTCTTATCTGATCCTGCTGTTTAGATGTATCTGTTCCTCTGTGTGAGGGGGTGTGTGCCACCGCGTGTACATAATGCTGCTGTTGTGTGTGTGACAGCAGGCACACGTCAGGAGCAGCCAGATGGGACGGGTGCTGAGAACAGACAGTATTGTTTTAAACCCAGTTTTTTAGTGTCCAGTTTTTGGTACTATTTCATATTGTAGTAATACACTGGAGTCTTCAACGATATATGAACATGAAGAAAGAAAATTGGAATAGTGACATCTCATCTTGATATAAAGAGTAATCCTTAGAAGATAAATATGTTATGAATATCTATATGTACCTGAATATTTACCAGTTAAAAACCATTCAAACTAAAGGGTTTATTGTCACTCATGTTGAAGTTAGAGGTCGGTTTGTGGATTTAATGCAGATAGCTGATTAGTGTCCGGCTTTGGTGTGACTGGAGTGACCCCTGCAGGGCCCCGGTCAGCCTGGCCAGGGCCGGCACACACTTGTGGTTGAATCATGTCTTTGGTACTGCCTTGCTAAGGTGTCAAAAGTAGCTGGGAAACAGCGAAAAAAAATTGATTGCATGAAAGTTCCCTGGTTATTTGACCCACTGTGTTCTTAGGAGAGGCTGTATGAAGAAATGCATTGGCCGTGTACGTATGTAATGTAAGATGACTTGTATACTTGCTCCAACTGTTTGTCTTTTTATTACTTTACTCGTCTCTGTGGTGAAAATTAAAACAATTTTGTATACTAAACACAAATGCCTATGGAAAGTATCTTTACTGCTTTGCTTCCGTCAGCGGTCTCTGCTGCTGCTTATTCAGGTTTTGGGGAAAACTGAAGGAATTCAGGGAATATTTCACTAGAAGCTTTGATGAAACCAAGACTATTGTGGGTTTCTCTGGAGTCCCCACTCTTAAGCCGGATTGGTTAGAATAGAGGAGGTCATTGTGGGAGAGGAAGTTTGTGACCTGCTTTTAAACAGCTCTTCAATTATTTTAGCCAAGGAGAGGGGGGGTAGTTCCCCACTACAGGGAGGGTTTTTGGGTGGTGGACTTATCTGGGCTTGTTTGAGGGTGGAAGAGAATGTTCCTGTAAAGGTGCTAACAGAAGGAAGAGCAGAGGAGTGGGCAGGAGACGAGGTGGTGTTTTCACAGACCAGCCGTGAAAGTGTGGGGACCTGTAGAAATAAAACCAGCCAGTGAGTTCAAATACAACCCACCCGTACATTGTTTTTATGGTTTACAATAAAAAAAGAACAGAATTCTTTAAAAATAAAAAATACCAAAAACTAATTCTATATTCTTTTAATAATTCGATCATTTTGATCATGTGTTCGTGCTTCATCTGTCCGCCCACCAAACTCCACCCTCCCTTTGCTCACCTGTATTACAGCCCGCCCTCAGCTCTGCTGTTTATAACACACACAGAGAAAGCAGCCCACAGACATGCTGCTCTGTGCTCCAAAGAGAGATCATGGACATCAGTTATCCATTATTAGAAGTGTCGTGTTTGCTCCTTATATTTAGGGAAATATCCACTGAGTCTGGCCTGCTCCTGTCAGCTATTTATACCTTCCATGTTGCAGGCACAGTGGAAAAATACCAATGTCTGGGAAAAGTAAGAATCTGCTTATTTTCTCTAGATTTGTCTAACAATTAAATCATTTTTCAGTTGATTTTTTTACTCTTGTTTTTATTTTAATTTTCATTCCTGTCATGAATGATCATTTTAATCTGACTATGCCTTTTTACTTTGTAAAGCTTTCAGTTAAATTGGTGATTAAAAGGTGTGGCCTAATTAAAGCAAAAACAGAGAACATGAAACTGTGCATGCACAATGTAAAGGAGACACAGGCTGGGTCGTGTTAACCACTAGTTTATTTTTTAACTTTCAGGGTAAAGCTTTGAGAAGTCAAGAGATGGGATGTTTTTTTCCTCTGAGTGGGGAAAGCCAGGCTCAGCTAAGTCAGCAGGCAAGGAATCCTCCATCCACCGGCAGTGTGACTCCATTAGTCATTTTGCTCTTATCACTCAGCAGGAACAAGATGCTGTTCACCACATCCTCCACCTCTGCACACACACACACGCACACACACACACACACAGAAGGCTCAGCTCTTCCCTGGTTGTAAAGCCTTGTACAAGTCTGGCCACACAGTCACAGCCTGATTGGGCTTTAAACAATTAAGAAAAATTGTTGGTTCAGGCCTTCCTATAAATCATAATGTGATGTTAATGCATCAATATGCAGGCAGCATGTTCCACAATTAATATATATATATATATATATATATATATATATATATATATATATAATATAATTAGAGACATGCAAGGCAACACAAAAGGGACTATTGGAAAAATAACTACAAACCTAAAACCAAACAATTCTGTGTCTGAGCTCAGTTAGCATTTCTTAAAGGTGATTTTATGTATAAGTGTTCACACAGTACCAAGTTAACATTGTGCCTAAACCAGAAGTTACTGGGTCTTTTGTAACACACACACACACACACACACACACACAGAGTTCTGGGTCTGACCTGCAAAGTGGCCGAGGGGGATACGGGACGTCATGGCCTGGGCTTTTTTGGGGTCACTCCAGCCCAGGCGGCCCATCTCCGTCATCACCACCGTGGGGTTCACACTGTTCACACGGATCTGCACAGCAACACACCAGCAGACCCTTTTTAAAAACTCCATCAACTGAACAGCACAGATCAAATCTGTCTGTTTAGAATAACTAAGAGATCACAGGAAACAGCAGCAGGGCCGTCAGCAGCCACTGAGGAGGGTTTGACATATTCTCCAAATCCATACTCTGAGATTTGGAGACTAATAAAACTGGACGACCAATCAGAGATATCATGGATTCAGCGAAATGTCAGCGCTTATTGAGCTCCTCTGGGACTGATTATATTACAGTGAAATCTACTAGACATTCAGTTCATTTCCCCTGAATACCTTTATCTGAATGTCTGGGGTCTGATCCTAATCGTCCCCAGTCCACCAGCCAGTGGACGTCCCACTGACCCTGGCATGTCCATCAGTGTGTGAGGATGAGGGAGGAGAAGCGAGGACTGTGTGGAGGGCACTGTGCTATTCACAGCACCCAGTCAATAATCAGGGGCATCTACAGCTCTTGATTACATTTTAGTCACATACAGTTCCTTTAAGATGATACGTTTGTGATACCAGATCTCATAAGAATATTCTTTTGAAGCGCTTACAGGAGGAGATTTTCCTCAGAAATATCTCAATTCAGTGGGTTTCTATCAAACTGTTCCATCAGGCACCTTGAGGGACTATGAGGCTGTATGTTCACCAACATGCTTTTAAGGACGGCTCCACAAATATCCACAATTGAATTAAATTTGCAGAGGACAATATTTAATCAGCCTTCCTCAGACATCCTGCAGGACTGGAACAGATCAGACCAAAGTTCTGCTCTTGGGACTCTGGCTGGAATGAGGCTTGATCAGGGTGGTACGGGTACCTGGTGGGGTCCCAGCTCCAGGGCCATGACCTTCGTCAGCATGTCCAGGGCTCCTTTTGTGGCACCTGAGAGAGGCCCAGAGACAGAAAGGTGTGAACATGACATGTGTGAGGCTGTTATCGTGAGGCTGCCTCCATGCAGACAGCTTCATGCAGGCTCCTCTGAGCCCACTGGTGCTACTCACAGTAGACGGTGTGGTCTCTGAGGGCGCACTGGGAGGCCTGGCTGGACACGTTGACGATGGAGCCTTCTGCTCCTCTGGCCTTCATGCCACGAGCCACTATCTACCCACAGAAACAGATTTCAGTTTGTGGAGCTCACAACCAAAAGCTTAATAAGACCTTTTGGTAAGGCCACACTTCATGTCACCAACAGAGACTTCTCTGAGAGAATTATTCATGTTTTGTTTAGCATTTGGGATCAAAAATTAACTCTCAACATAACACATTTTCAGACTTTTTGATTGATTCAGATCCCATTCTAAAAACAGAGGAAGGGGACCCACGACAGAACCTCCACAGGACATGTTTTCCTTCATTTTGACTACACTTCCAGGTTTCAGGACTCATGGCATCTACCCCCTGGTCCCCCGCAGCCTCTGACGGCTCTGGCTGAGGGCTCTGACACAGGACGCTGCATGTGCAACAGCCAATCCCAGGCTGGGTCTCCAGCATGCAGTGCCCACAGCCAACCGAAAAGCACCAGAACTTTAAGTCATTAGTTCTGTTCTTTTAAAGACCCATTTCACATGCATAGCTTCTGTATCACAAAAATACAGTTCTACAGCACACCATCACATAAATTATTTCAGGGGACCTCTAGATAGTACAATACTTAAATAATAAAGCATTTACAAAGACTACTAAAGCAACAGTTAGGGGATAAATGTCCTAAAACAGGACAAAATAGGTCCATAAAACTAAATAGAATCAGTTTTTGCTTTCATGCCCCAGTACACTTGTCAAGAATGTGACTGTAAATGGACAGATGGACAGATCTCAGCTGGTGTAGGGTTAGAGTCCAAGAACATCTGAGGAAACTGGAACAGTGGAGGACAGAAGAAGAAGAGTTGGGCCTAAAAAAACCCTCTGTAATCTAGCAGATCAAGAAGAAAATCTGAAAGAGATCAGAAAGAGGATCAGATCCAGCAGAGAGCTGAACAGGAGCTGAGAGCTGCATCTGGACCTCCAGCTGGTCAGCTCCTGGTGGCCTCAGCAGAAATGCTCTCCATGAAGGGCTGGAAGAAGCCATGAAGGAAGGAGACAGGAGGAAAGATGAGCTCTGCCAGAAGAACCAGAAGTGGACTGAACCCCAGCTCTGATGGAGGGATGGATCCTCCCCAAAGGCAGCAGCAGCATCCAGAGAAGAGCTTTGGACGTCCTCCAGAAGCTGGAGATCTGCTCCTGGAGACTCCTCACAGAAAGGAGCTACTGGAGAGGCTTCAGGATGGAGGAGGAAGGAGCACAGAGACGAGGCCACAGAAACTCCGGTTCTGATCAGGGTCTGGTTCTGATCATAGCAAATACTGTTTTCACAGAAATATAGAAAGAAATGAAAGCTGGGTGAGGATTTCTACAGACTGCTGAAGGTGACTAAATGATGGGAAAGGGTTACAGGTCTTATTCACCTTCAGAAGGTTCAACCAAGGTCCAAAAACATGACACATGAATGTTTGCCAGCAGTAACAGGCAGGAACTCTTGGGCTTAGAGCCCCAATCAGTCATCCATTAGATGTGAACATTTACCTGGGACACATGCAGCACAGCTTTCACGTTCACACTGAAAGCTCTGTTGAACACAGAAAACAGAAAAGGTTAGCACACAATCACACTGCTGACTCAGCAGGCTTTGGGCTGCATTGTGACATCTTAGCCCAAAGAAAACACGAGCATGCCTGCAGGTCCTGGCGGTCTTTGTGAGCAGACATGTGGTCAGTGGGAACTGACCGGGACCTTCTGCCATTTTAGCCTCTATCAGACTTAAGGAGTCCAGTGTCCGTCAGGCCCCCTACAGCCCCGTTTGTCTGTAAAGGGAAACCTCAGAGGGTCAGGATGAGCTGTTGGACACCAGCAGGGAGGGGTGGGTGCTGCTGAGGGGGAGTCCTGATGGGCCTGTTTGGTTTGTGGTACTCTGGAAGCAGAGGCAGGGATGTACCCCCCCCACCAGTCCTGCATCGTGGGCTGGGGAGCAGCTGGCTCCACTCGGCCATCTTGGAGACTCCTGTACAGGCACTTATGTTGAGCTTTTGCCAGTCAAGCTAGAAAAATCTCAAAGCGCCTCACAGTGTGTGTCATTGGCCATTCACACACTCACACACCAGTGGGCAGCTTGGGGTTCAGAGCTTTGCCAGAGGACACCTCCACATGTGGCCTGGAGGAACGTGGAGTTGAACCACCAACCCTCCAATCAGTGGGCAGCTGCTCCTTCCCCCTGTCAGTTATTGATTTGTCGCCTGTATCTATTAGAATGAACTCCATCCCTGTTTTCTCATCAGATGCTTAAACTGTGTGGTCGGCCTTCCATGGAAGTAAACCACGGAGACCCCAGAAGTGTGTGTGCTGGCCTTACTGGTCGAACTGGTCAGGTGTGACCTCCAGAAACGGCTGCAGGCTGGCACAGGCAGCGTTGTTGACCAGCAGATCGATGGGGCCGGCGCTCTGCAGGGCGGCCTCTGTGGCGTCCCAGTCCGCCAGGTCCAGGCAGAGCGGGCTGATGGAGGCACACTGCAACAGGCCAGAGCACAGAACACCGGTCAGTGGAGGAACCCACGGCCACAGAACAGCTACAATCCTAAGGGAGAAATACGGCCATCTGGTGCCAGTGAAAGGTTGTTGTTCAAGGCCAAAATTCCAAAGCTAAACTCAACCAGTCAGAAAAAAGCTCAGTGATTATGAAGAAAAACGAGGACAGACAACATGTTCAAAAGAAAGAAAGAAGTGCTAGAGAGTCCAAAAGACCCATGAATGACAGCAGAAGTCACAGAGAGAGCCCTCTGGGGTCAGAGGTCAGGGACCAGAGGGGCGTGTAGCGTACCTCCTGCACCAGGCTGTCCAGGTCAGCCTGTGTGCGTGTGACCGCCGTGACCTTTGCCCCACAGAGAGCCAGAGCCAGAGCTGTAGCCCTGCCAATGCCTGGGGGAGCAAAACACCCCCAGATATTCACACACTACATTATACATATACACACATACAAATACACTACATTATACCTATACACACATATATATACACACATACAAATACACTACATTATATGTATACACATATGTATATACACACATACAATTACACTACATAATATCTATACACACATATATATATACACATACAAACAAATCTGACTTTGTGATTTGGTTTTATGTCAATTAAACTGAATTGATTTTAAATAACATGTCAGCAAGTCAAACAAAGTCTACAAATAAAAAAGTTATTCCAAAATAACATGTGAGTTTTATTTTTCCTGTTCTGAGCAGTAAGAGCCCTTCTTGCAGATTCCAGCAGACAGGAGACCCGTCTACTGGACCTGCTGGACCTACTGAATCTACTGGACCTGCTGAATCTACTGGACCTGCTGAATCTACTGGACCTGCTGGACCTACTGGACATACTGAATCTACTGGACCTGCTGGACCTACTGGACCTACTGGACTGTAGGACAAGTGGACTAAATGGTTCACTCCTCATGTT